CAACCCTCTCAAACTCCTAAACCAAGGACGATTGTCCCAATCACGGCCAAAAACCCGGCAGACTGGACCAAGATTCAATCGCTTCTCACCAAAAACGACATCAAAATCACAAACCCTAAAAAGAAACACACCGGCATTTCGTTTATCCCCTCTTCCACGGAAGAACACAGGAGTATCACCAAACTCCTTACTAAGAACGCCATTGAGTATCATACTTACACTCTCGAGGAAGACCGGAAACTGTCTTTTATCATCAAAGGGCTTGACTCCCACATGGACATAAACGAAATCAACAACGAGATCCACGAATAGGGCTTTTCGCCCGAACAAACTCACTTTTACCGTCTTGGTAACTATAAAAAAGTTTCCAACATGATAAAAGTACTCCTACCGAAATCCCAATCCGACTTCCAAAATATAAAACACCTGCTAAACCTCCCAGTCCTCATCGAGCCCCAAAGAAACTCCAACACCCTCAACCTTAAACATATTCCCCAGTGCAAAAAGTGCCAAAAGTTCGGGCATTCCTTGACAAACTGTGGCTCCAAACCCACTTGCCACAAGTGCGCGGAGCCGCACTTTTACAAAGAGTGCACGAAATCCCGTGACCTCCCAGCCAAATGCTGCAATTGCGGCGGTCCACATCCAGCCAGCTATTTCCCATGCCCCAAAAACCCAAATTTCTCCCTACAAGCAGACGCAAAACAGAAAGTAGCCCTGTTCAACAACAAAGTTGAATCAGGCATTTCGTATGCCCAAAAAGCCCAAAACACTCAAGTCCAACCCGCTAAGCCCCTCCCACAAATTTCCCTTCAAACCAAAATCCCGCCCAAACCAACACAAGCCCAGCCCCCCAAACCCACCAAACTCCCAAATTTCATCCCTAAATCCCCAACTTGTCCAACTTCTTCTCCTCTCCGATCAGGAGATTGAGGCCAAAGTCAATAGACTTGCGACCCTAATCTCCCAAAATCCTATCCTCAAAATGCTATGCTAAGCAATAGCATTAAACCCCAAGGTGTCCATATCGTCTCCTGGAACGCCGCATCTTTGT